TGACTTGAGTAGTTTGTGCGTGTATTTTGGTAGTTTTAGCTTGATCTTGTACGTCCAGCCACATTCTGTCGAATGCTTGGGTTACATCCACAAAAACTGCTGTGCAGTATTGTCAGTTGTCTCGAATGCGGATCTTATTTCTGTTGTCATTTGGTTAACCTGTTCTATTTTTTCATGGTTTTCGCGAAAACCAAATTGATGTGGAGGTATTATGCTGTGAGCTCTAAGGTACGAGTTGAGTCGGGTCAGTAGACATTTTTCGAAAAGCTTTGAGCGACATGAGAGTAAGCTTATGGGTCTGTACGACAAAGCAGATGTCGGACCCTTTCTGGGTTTAGGAATCATTATGATGATTGATTTTTCCAGCTGTCTGGAAGTAATCAAATTTAGTTATGGCGATGAATAGCTGGGTTATATAGCAAATGGCGCAGTAAGGCAGTTCAATGATCATCTTTGAAGTTATGATATCGCAGCCGGAGATTTCTTTGTATTAAAGTGCTCATTTAAGAATTTTAAAATTTCTCTTGGATGAAACATTGGCGATTGGGGTCATTTGTTGTTGTTGGTAATGTAAATGCGTTAGTAGCCTGATTTGAAAGACTTTTTGTAGGTTAGCGGCAAATATACTAGCCCTGTCTACATCTCTGCACGCCCAGGCGCCTCTGGAATTTCTTATTGGCGACACGGTGACGGTCGGTGGACAAAGAGTTAGGTGAGCTTGTTGTTGATAGTTATCGACTTTTGGCATGCTCATCTTCTTGTTTCAGAACTTTGGTTAGATTATTTGTGGCATCTTTTTGTCCCCAACAAGAATAGATTCTAGTGTTGTGATTGATTTATCAATGTCGGATTCACTATTGAGTTGTGGGTATCGTTCAATGTGTGAACTAATATATTTTCTATACTTGAGCAAGTTTGTTTTGTGTGACGTCAATAAAACTGTTTTTTTTTTTTTACCGTTTTGGTCAAAACATAGATGAGAACTGGGAGTGATCTGGCAGGCATTTGGCTCTCAACAGGCTGCGAGGATTGTTTTTGTGATTGCAAAATCGATCAGATCAGGCAGTTTGTTGAGGTATGTTGGCCAGTATGTTGAACTGTAGTTGTCTTCCGTATTTGTTTGGACTTAAATTTCGTGGATTGCGCCCTTTACTAATGGAGTTATATGAAAATTATGGTTTCCAATAAGGTCAACCAGTTGATTCACTAGAGAGCTTGAGCTCTTCTCACGGATAAAAATTCGTGGAGGCTGTTACCAATGACCAAGAAAACTTATCGCTTTGTTCGGTACAAGCCAGCACCATGTATTACCCAAGCCTGGCGCGATATTCACATGCGCTAATTTGGCATACAATTTCCACGACACTGCACTTTAAATTTCTTGATATTTCTGGGCCTGCCTGCTGCCTCCAAGCCGGGATCCACCATTTTGGATCCAGTCCAAGAAATACGAGCAATTAAGAAGTTTTCTAAAAAGTGAGGTTCCCAGGAAAAGCCTTGAAGGCAAGGGAAAAACCGCTGCAGGGCGTAAAACAAAGTGACACAAAGTGAAGCCTCTCCGCTGCTATTTGTTTTTCAACTGACAAAGAAAGCAGCTCGTCTTACCAAAGACACTAGAATAACAAGATGCGTAATGCCTTACGATTTTTTGAGTACTGGCTCTAGAGCTGGCTCCAGTGTCTCTCTAATTTTTGTTCAAGAGCCAGAGAGAGAGCGCTCTAGAGCCAACAGATCTCTTGTACGCATATAGCGACAGTCGATCACTGCATGTGTGCACACGTATGCTCATGTATTGTAAATTTGACAAAATATGCCCTTCACTTCAGAAGTTTATGGACTTTCAATCTTAATTATATGTAATCGATTGCCAACATGTAAAAATCTCTAATTTTGCATTGCCTTAAGATGATAATTATTTAAATAAATCATAGAAATAGTAATAGGTGAATAAATGTACATAATAATACCTAATTAATTTCGTAAATTACTTTATACTAAAAAATTTGTCGTTGGAGTATTAAGCTTACGACGTAGAAAAAATATTTGAAGCTAGTGATTCTTAGGTCATGCCTCAAGAATTCAATTTTGCCATAAGCCGGTTGCATATTAAGTTTTTTAACTATTTAGTATATTTATTAGTACAAATTATTAGTATACAGGTACAAAAAATATCATGTAAAATATCATGTAATTGAACCATTTTCCTTATTTGAAATGCAAATATTATTTTGTTGAATGTTTTTGTTATATTCTAATTTGGTATTTTTAAAAACCGCGCAATTTTGGGTGGGTAAAACGGCGCGCCAAATTTATTGTTTTTTCTCTTAGTTCCTCTTAATCCGTTTGATCGTTTGCTACTATTTTTCCTAATTTTAATAATATATCCGTATTTATATTTAATAAAAGTTTATATGTAAAGTTCAGTTGCAAAACGGTAGCTAATTCAAGCGTCTAAATTAAATTAACTTCTTAAAAAAAATAACAGTCACGGCATCAATTTTTAAATAATATTTTATTAGATCATACTACAACGAAATTGACCAAAACATTAATCAAATTCGTTTCTTAGATCAAATTTGTCTTCTAGCACAACTACGCACACATGCACACTTTTTTGCTTACTGTTTTCAATCATACAAGCAAGTAAATTCTATTTTTAGATTGGTATGCTCTCAATTTTACACGAGCGGGAAAAGAGCAATTATTGCCGCCACCAAAAAAGTGGCTGCATAGTGCAAAAACAATGTATGGCCGTTACGCATCTTGTTATTCTAGGTTCTTTGGTCTTACCTTGTCTATAAGGAGTAAGGTTCGCAACCTCATCCGCAGGAAGATGGTGCATTTTGATTTGAGTAAGTGCTGGAAAAATTTAGATCGACACCTTAACTTTAGCGAACCGCCCAGAATTTTAACGAGGCCTAACCTCAGCAAAACGGCAGCGACCGGAAACAGGGAGATTAGATACAATCATCAAAGGCGATCATTTGAATCATTTGAAATTCGTTAATTTAGAATAACATCATCGTAGGTGCAAAGTACTGCAACTTTAACTTAAAATCTTCTAAATTTCACTAGCCCCGCGTAAAATAAATATTACTCAAGAATTTTCTAAATATGGTGTACAAGTATGTACAAATATTTATAGAATGGTACATGAACCAAAAGCGTTGGGCGAATAAATAAATTATCAAATGATTTTTATTTTTACAAGATTGTTAAAACCCAACTTTTTGCAGATCTACATTATGCTCCCGCCTTTGCGGAATTCATTTAAATCCGGCTTGAAAAACTTAATTACAAAATTTAACAAATGAAAAATAATGTTGGTCCAAATTGATTTGTTATATTGAGTTTCTAATAAATTATATATCAACATAAATCTATTCTGGAGCAGATATTATATTAAGGCAATGAGAAAACATTAATTGTTTTTGTAATATCCAGTATAAGATAAAAACATGAAAAAGTTATTTTAAATTGAAAACTAAAAATTGCTATCTACAGTGGGGAGCAAAAGTGATTCCACAATCAAAGTTTTATGTTTGGGAGCACATAAAAACTAAACGAACGAAGTAAATGATACAACTCTTATATTTTTTTTAATAGTACTTCATTTGTTACAAAAAGGCGTATGTAATTAAGTATTTGAAGAAGCGATAGAATAGTAATAATTCACAAACAAAAACAAGCGGCATGTACTCAGTTTTGCACCAATTAAGAAAAACTTCAAAATAAATGCATTATTAATATTTTGTTCAGAGACCCTTATTTTTAAAAACATTTGTTATACGTTTTGGCATACTTTCAACTAATTTTTGGAATATTCTTTTCAGAATGTTATTCCATCCTAGTTTTACAGGCCCCCAAAGATCGTCCCAGTTGGATGGGGCTGACTGTTACTGTCCGAGCTGTCGCTTTACGATTGACCATAGGTTTCCAATCAGATTGAGGTCGCGACTTTGCGCTGGCCACTCCATCATCTCAAAATTTTAATTTCCGAGCCATTCTTTAATAATTTTTGCAGTGTGCTTGGGATTCCCAAATTTAGATTCGTCCGACAAGATAAAACGTTTCCAGTCTTCTATTGTCCAGTTATTGTGTTCCTATGCGAATTTTAGCCGAGCCTTAACTTTTTTCTGGTATAAAGCTGGTATGGTTTTTTCACTGCTGCGACGTACCCAATCCTACCAAGCGCTCTTCTAGCTGGCCATCGACTCACGCCTTTATTTATTTCTGTAGAAGCATCTTTTGGCGTTAAAAGTCTATTTTTTCTCATTTTAGACATCATAAGTCAAGCGTCATAGTCTGTTAGAGGGCGACGGCGACCATTCATCTTCTTTTCATCACAAACATTTTGTCTTTTCTGGACCTTAACAACCACTGATTGACTAAATTGCAGCTTCTCAGCAATAGTGAGGGTCGAACACCCACTCTTAGTCAGCGAAATAATACTATTTTCCTTATCAGAAGACAGCTTCATAATTTTTCAGTGAATAGTTAGAGACTAAGTTCAAAATTCAGCAAATCAACTATAAACTTGTGGAAGATTGTGATTTTTTGCATTCTGACAACGTATTATAAATGCAAAAGCCACTTAATGGTAAGTCTGCAGTTATATTAGCTGATAAGTAAGAAGATCAAAAATATGAGATAATAACGGATGGTACCAAATTGAGAACAAGTCGCTTGTGTTGGTTTTTAAATCATAACTACACCATTTCTTATTTTTCTATTTTGCTATATACACCTAATTGAAACAAAAAAAAAAACTAGGTATTAAAAAAAAGAATTTGTCATTTACATTATTTGTATAATGTTTATGTGAGCTCAAACAAGAAAACGTTGATCGTGGAATCACTTTTGCTCCCCACTGTAGGTACAAGGTACTAGGATATTTATACTTTAGCTGACGTAGGTATTTTTTTTTGTTTAATTCATTGGCCAACCTGAAAATTGAGTACAACCTTATTTCCATATAAAGTACACTGGGATTAAGCTACTTTTTATTTAACAATTTTAATATATAATGAATTAAGCATAAGAATTAACTAGCTTGTGTAGTCGAACATTAGCTTGGTTCCGAAAACGTTCTGCTTTAATTTGATGTAAGTTATGTCCTTTACTATAAACATAAAATGGTAACGTGCCTTTTCGTTTTAAAACAATTTGATTTCCTAATGTGTAATGCATGTAGTCAATTTCGTGGGTGTTATGAGTTAGACTTGAATTAAGAAAAGGAATTCCTTTTACATCAATGAATCCATTTCTTGCCTTTTGCTGTTGAACAATGTTTGAACTTGTTTCGTTAGCAATATCCTGATAGGACCTTTGCGTCATCAGACCAATAAAAAATGCCTTTACAATATTCTGGAGGTTCGTAGACCCCTCAATTTTGGCATATAAATCCTTGATACCTATAACTTTACAAATTGTTTGAATCACCCGGTGACATACTAAGCCATATCCATCAGGTTTCTGAAAACAAAAAATTTTTGTTTTTCCGAAATCTGTACGAAAGTCATGAAAAATTGTTCTATTTTCACATAGGCTTATGTTGATTAGTTTTTGCCCTGCTCGGTTCTTTGATTTTCGAAGGGCCGTACGAACTTCTGGTGCTTTAGCGGTAGCGAATCCTGCCAAACCATTACCATTTCCCGTGACTGATAGAACGGAATATCTTCGTTTTCTTCCCATATTTCCTTTCATAATAAAAACAATTTTGTTTTCTAAAACTCTTGTATCAAATGATATAAACTCTTCGTCGCCAACAGGATCAGGAGGTCCAATGCTTCGACCGGGCATTTTACTTCCAGACCACCCTCGGTCTATTGGATTTAGTTTCATCAATTTAAAGTTTCCCATTGAATCGCGTAATTTTAGTATTCCATTTTCTCTATCTAAATTCTCGTTTAGCTTCTGCTGATTAATAAGTTCGTTTCCACGTATAAGAGGTGAATTTAATCCAGGCCATATGCGACCGCATTTTCCGAATCCGATAGTTTGCCCTTTGTTAAGATCCTTTGCAACTTTTTTTCCACTTCCTTTCCCACGGCCTCTTTTTTTTCCAGCATTGCTAACCGCAGTTACTCCGCGCCAAATGTCCTCAGCAGGTACTAAAAGAAAACAAAAAAAAGGATTCAATTTACTGATTAAAATTAAATTAACGACTGTTACGGTCGCTTTCTTTAGCGGCAGTTGCCGAGAACATTTAGTTTTGTCAACTGTATGTGTTCTTCTTCCCTTTTTATGTAAAAATTTTAAAAGCCATTTTTTTTTGTGTCCCATTTAATTGTAATATTTTAGTATCTCAGGAATAGCGATAATCACTGTGGTCGGCAGTCCACCAAGAGAGTGTGCGACTACACGAATGCACAAAAAATTAAAATCGGTAGTATTCCCATCATAACGAGTGTTGCATCAATTAAAAGGTCGCTCAGAATCCAAAGGGGTTGATCTTGACTCAGAAAAAAAAGATGTGAATGTGAAAATTGTATAATTTTGGGCTGGTGGGGCTATTAGGGGTAATACCATCCAAAAAAATATAAAATAATTCGTGTTGTATAACCATATTTTTGAATAATTTCGTATTGTTGTATAACCAAACGCAAAAGATATTCCGAAAACAAGACTTTGGGGAAACTTTCAAAAAGAAAATTTTTTCTGACCCATTGTCTCTTTCTGAAACAAAATGCATTTTAAAATACCAAAATATTTTTCTGTTAAACAGCGCAATATGCGAAACTTTTCTTCTATAACTTTTGGTAAAGGCATTTCTGAATGCTTTCTATCTATTCCTATCAAACGTAATAATTCAATGGCCAAAATAATATAAATTAATTTCTTAATAACTAAGAACTATTTTCATGGTATTAAGGTATACTTAAAAAACGTTTGATATCAAACAAACGAACATCTTAACGAGGTAAAAACTAGTGAAAACTTCATCATACAAAATTTTGAGTTACGAAAAAGGATTGTTTATTCAACTAAGAAAATAACATTTAGTTTTTTCAATTTCAATAGAAAATGCATGAGAGGTCAAATATATATTTTGATAAAGCCTGCCGAATGAGTAAATTTAAGATATTATTATTTATATCTCTAAGCCTTCTTATATACAGGCATGTATGTATGTAGAGTTATAATTTTGGTCTACCATCAATTGGTAGTTATAGCTTTCCACAGATGAAAAATTTAATTTTTTTTCCCCATGCCATAACATGACTAGATTACTGGCTTGACATGTCGCTGTCGGAACTGGTCTTGATCAGCAAAAATCAATGGGCTTTGAATAACTAATGCAAGAAATTGTATTTCAAAAAATATTTTTTTTATCTTGTTTTGAATTTATTTTTGTTTACATTTCTAAATTTGATATTACAATCATCATTTAAGAATACGAGTATAAGTCGAATTAATCGATCTTTCACAGAATGGAAAATCTTTAATCGAAAAGGATCGATTTACGAAAAGTAGAATTGTTTACACCTTCACTTGGAAAATATATAATAATATTGTTGATATAGCGATAAAAACGTGGTAAAATCAGAAAATGTATAAAAATGTTGCTGTCATAGCTTATTGCGGTTAAATGCTAATGTTATTATGGCCTTTAAAGTACAAATATGTGTGATAATCGTATCAAATATTAACTCCACCATGTTTTTAACATATCTGTAGAAATTGAAAGTACAACGAAAGTGCTAAAATCTTTAAATGCCTTAATTTCTTAGATCAAATATGATTTCGTTTCAAAAATCATCTTCTCGCTCAAGTATGCAAAAATATAGACGCTATAATAAGTGTCTGCATAGTGCAAAACCAATGTATGTCCGTTACGTATCTTGTTATTCTAAAACCTTATTTATATTTTATATTTACTCGTTTCCAGTTTATATTTACTGTTTCTATATTGCGTGTATCTTCTCGCGAATCGAGACGTGCGATACACGGCAGCGCCCCTCGGTCGGTTGGGCGGAAGGTGGGCCAGTGGGACCGGAAGGAAAGAAAGCTTGAATAAAGACATCAGAGCAAGGATAGACACATAATGCCAAATACTAGAGTCAATCATAAAGACAAAAATCTCGTCACTGAAATAGGACAAGCACAACCGCCAACACAGGATTGAGTCCCGCAAATGGACATTGATAACTTTTTTGTTTAAAAGACTTCATACAACACCAACAAAGCCCTCAGTTATTCAGAATAATCAATAGCAAAATACAACAGCCAATGACAGGCGAATAAAAAACCAAACATTAGTCGAGCATATGGGACTAAAACACCAGAGTATAAACGTTATAGCTTCAGAAATTGCCTTACCCAACCAAGACTCATAATCCGAATACCCAGTGTTAACAGAAGAGGATGTAAAAGATAGAACAACTCCCTGCGTCCGTTCAAGGACGCAGGGAGGACAAGGAGGACAATTAAACTTTTAATAGATACGTGGCTTCGAAGAATTACATTAAACCTTTAAAAAAACTAAAAGGTATTGTGTCAAAAAAAATCTTTCCATGTAAATTAAATTCACGGCTATAATACCATAGATAAAAAATGTGTGATTAACCATTTTTAATACATTATTTTTGTTACCAAACCTCACAAATTTTAACAGAATAATAGGACTTGACTTACTCAAACAAATTGACGTTGTGCTTGACCAAAAAAACAAGAAACTATTAACTAAAGGTGGTTCGACGGACGTTTCCGATTTTGTAAACGCGGAAACTCATGCCATGTTAAAAATTGAATAATTCGGCCATTTTGGTCACCCTACAACTGACAAACAAGGAAATACAAAAAACGGTTGGTAATGAATTTCCAAAAAATAGACTTCTAAAACCACTGATTATAAATATCCAACCTTTTACGTTGTTTTTTTTTTTTGTCAAGATTAGGTAGAGCTAGATACTTTTCTATCTTAGATTTTAAGTCGGGTTTTCATCATAAATCCAATATTGTCAAGGAAAACGTTGAGTATTTAGGATACGTAGGTAAATTCGTAATTACGAAACACAAACTACATTGTTTAATGTCAGGTCATTTCTTAGATAAGCAAGGTACTAGAGGTGTTTTATTAAAGATTTTGCGTCCATGGTGAAACCCATAAGTAACATCATAAAAGGCAAAAATAGCTAAGAAAGCGCTGGCCAATGAAAAACAGATCTTGCGTCTGAAAACGTTGTTAATATACGCTAATTATAACAAAAACGGTTTGACTTGAGCTTCTTGCCATAGTGTGGTCCTCATCAACATCAGAAGTAACAAATTTATTTATTTTTACTGATTACCTTTGTCTTTTGTCGTCTCGGATCGTAATCCTAATGCTAATGTAATTAAGCGATGGAAAGCTTCTATTGACGAGCCAGGGAGAGAGAACTTGGTCGCTAACGCGTTGTCGCAGTACACACCGAGTTATACACATACACTTTCGAAAAAACAGACAAATCAGTCAACAGTCAACTGTCAACCAGTCAAATAATAGTAGAAAAAAATTTAACTGATTCAGTTAGAAATTATTTTACTGGCATACACTAATAGAAAAATTCACAACTACATTTCGATACACGGATCGCATGGTAACTGACATCCCGGACAAAAAATGAGAAAAAATAAATTTTTCGAACAGAACATAGCTCATAGCGCTGCTCAAGAAAACTTGAAGCAAATCTCACAAGAATATTTTTCCCCCAAAACGACTCAGCTAGCGAAATTGTAAAACTTTATGATTCGAAGGGTATTGTCCACAAGGAATTTGTTCCAGAAGGTCAAACTGTTAATGGAGAAAAAAATCGGTCGTGTTAGACCAGAATATCAAGCAGAAAAACTGTAGTTTTTATTGCACGATAATGCACCATATCACAAGACCAAAAAAGTGAACGAATTTTTAATGAAAAAAGGGATTTCTCTCTCGACCATCCTCCGTATTCGCCTGATCTATGACCGTGTGACTATTTTTTATTTCCAAAACTGAAAACCAAGATGAAGGGAGCATTTTCCAGGAAATTTCGAATTTTCTCGTTCGCACTTCCACTAGCTGAGTACGGGTATCTGATAGTGGGGGAACTTGGCATTCCCTCTTGTTTTGAGTATAATCAATGAGCATTCTACCAACATAACAATAACAGATCCAATGGAAATAGCCCAAGTAAATTTTTACCGAATGATAATTTTGTACACTTTGTAATAAAATACCCAAAGTCTATCAATTGGAAACTGCAGGACGTCATTTACAACATTCAGCGGAAAATTACCCTACTCCCGACAACTCTTTTCTGGAGACACTGCACGCACGAATCGCCACAGTCATCTTGAGTCAATTTCGGCCAATGGACAACTGATAGTGGGAACATTTCGGTGACCGTGTTCCGAAACTTTAAGACTACGTCTGAAAATCCCCAATGACTGCTGTTGATTAAGCTTCTAAACATTATGGGTCTCCGGGAAATACTGAGCTTACCATATTTACAAAAGCTAAATATGATGAATTTGTTGTACATTGACAAAATGGAAGACAGACTCGTTAAGCAGTCTTTAATAGCCAAAGTGGTCATTATCGTTTTTTTTTTTTTGGTTACATGCTAGTTACCCAACATGACCTTCATGTCAATATTGATGGTTTTAAAAAGTCCGAAGACGTCTTTATCTAAGCAAGGGAACATGATCCATGACCCAGCCAGAAAGAAGTTACTAAGCGGATCATACATAGCCGGCAAGATTAACGTGCAAGGTCAACATTTTCTGCAGGGCAGTTGCTTCAATTAGACTGCAGTCACCGAAACGTCGCGGACAAGCTTGACTAAGCGCCCAATAAGAACATTTGTACAACCTGGAGCCATTTTTATCTTATGGCATTTATTTTATTTGAATTGAAAAATTTTACTTACGTTTGTTAAAAAAGCTGGTATTACGTAAACTAAAGTAATTTGATAAAATGCGTTCATTTGAAGATAACAAGCTTTGATTATAATTTAAAATATTTGTATGGCGAGCTCCACTGAGAAGACGCCATATTAATGTTTGACTCATAATAAATATTTATTAACACGTTTCGTTGCTCTCCTTCATGAGGTTAATGTTTATATAAATATATCTGCAGTACCGCCACTAAAATAAGTCAAACTTGAAACAAATAGAATCGGAATATGAATAATGCTTTAAGACCTGTCCAGACAATGATAGTGAGTGGATAAGGTTTAAATGCTCAAAAATAGTTGCGAGTGAGACTATTTTTAAAAACTTGGACCGTTTATATATTAGACGTGATAAATACATATGTTTAATTTCAGATATCTTACAAAATCGTGAATGCTGGATGGATAGACACGTGTGAACGTGACAACACTTTTTTAGAGACTTTTCACAAGTATGGTGAATTATGACGGGAATATGACGGGTTCTCACAGATCATTTTAAGAAAGGTAATAATAATGTCTGTTATATACATTTTTCTGACACTTTGATGTTCACCAAATAAACTAACTGACATGAAAAAAATAGCATGGAAAGCAAAAATTGTATTGATCCGAACCCAATCACAACAATGATCTGTGAAGCAAAGTACGTCTAAGTAATAGGAAACAATAGAAAATCATTTTTGAATGTCAAAAGCAGGCAATTGTATAAGTAAATAACTGTAGTTATTTTTGTTTTCTTTATTTCTTTCTTTCTATTCTGTTCTGTTCTCTGTACAGTTTGCTTTACATTTTTCGTTCTTGATGGGTCGCAAGCGACTGTTTACTTGAATTGATTATTTGAAACTAAAACTAAGAGACAACATATTTCCCTAAGTCCCTAACAATCAAGGTTGAGCGTCGGCAGCAGGCGTCGGGAGCGAAGTAGTGGGCGTCCGCACTTCAGCTGGTCGCTGACGTTCGATGGCAGCGGGAACAATGCAGACCTCTGGTCAGCACTTTGGGCACTTGCCTTTACCCAGAAACAATGTCGAAACATGGGATGCGGGACAACGACTTATAGGGCAATAACTCCTCCCCTCTTAATCGACGCTTGTCCTCGAGCGGTCATCAGAAAAACGGGATATTGTTGAGACGCATCGTTGGGTGGGGTGATCTGTGGTAGTTTGGGCACCGCATCGATGGTTTGAATGCCAGGTGAGTCGATTTGAAGGACCACCTTTTTTCCTCTCCGGCAGCACCAATTTGTCGCGAAGATCAGGGCAGCGATCATCATTAGTATTGCTGCGCCGAACACTTATTGGCTAACTCACACCTTGACTGCTTTCCATTTAGAAGTTCTGGTAGACAAAGGTCTTTGCTTAAATTACTAATGGATTTATTTTTACATATTTTTAAAACGTTGGAACTTTTGCAGAAGGCATTAGTCTTTGGTTAATTACTAATGAATTTATTTTTACATATTTTTATACTATTTTTTTTATATATCGTCTTTAAATTTGAAAATTTCTCTAGATGGTAAGTTAATGATATTATTGTTTTTCTTTACTGATCTTATTTGGTAATTTAGGAAATTAATTGATTTTAATGTTGGAATTTTAATGACATACAAAATTGTAGTTCCGTTGTGGAAAACGGAAGCGTCTGAAAATTTTAACATTTCCATTTGCTTTTTTAGGCTGCTTTTAGGCTGCTGATCTCTTCCAACTCGCTCAGCAGAAATGTGTTCACAACACCCAGCCTCGCCCATTGGATGGCAAATTTAATATTAACTATCTCCTCTTTTACAAGCCTAATCTAATTCTGCAACCCTATGGCCAACTCATCCCTCAAAGTCGAATGTTTTCTAATTGAATTTTGTGTCTTAGTGGTCACGTCAGTCAGAGCTACGAGGTCATCGTGATCCGGGCTACCGGCAACATATTTCCAGGCCGTCCTTATAAGATCAATCGATCTAGTTTTCCTTGTCTTCACTAGGATCACTGTATCAAGCAGGTTCTTTGTCTGTGTCAGTTCGTAGTTCAGTAAGTGATATGACTTATCATCGTTAGTCATGATTGGTGTACTTAGTTATCTCAATGAATCCGTTTGTCGAGGCCACCACAGCAAGCATCCTGAAAGTAATCATGATCTGATGTTACTTTTGTGCACTATTTTTCCTGATTCTGTTAGTATTGTAGTACTTCTATCTTGCTTAACTATTTCTTTCCTAAATATATTTGATAGCTTAGACCCTAATCTGGTATTAACCCTAACGAAAATTTCTTGCCCCTTGATGTAGGTTTTTATGGGCTTTCTTGTCCGGTTGTAGTGTTTAATGTCAGTTTCTTGTTTCTCCTTAAGACGGTCTATATTGTCCAGTCTAGCTTGTTCGTATTGTTCTGGTGCCACGGTAGCTACCCTACCGAAGAACACCTCTAGAGGTCGTTTTTTTGTGACCGAATGGACAGTGTAGTTATATTCATAAATACCTCTATCGAGAAGTTCTTCGAAGCCTCTATGTGTTCCATCTTTCAAACATCTCATTATTTCTGAGAGTGTGGAGTCAAATCTTTCTATCTGTTCATTTACCGCACTCTTGTACGGAGGTGCTTTATAGAGCTCAATGCCCATCTGGTTTGTCAACATGAATTTGACAGAGGCTGAGTTGAGGGACTTTTCATTGTCCATTACTATTAGTTTAGGCACTCCATAATAAAATACTATATCTCTTAAGGGTTTCCTAATGTCCTCTACAGCTTTCGATTTAATGACTCTTCCCAGAGCCAGCTTGGAAAATTTGTCGATTGCCGTGAGCACCAGATGTCGTTCTGTAGAGTATATGTCAATATGGCTAATTTGTCCGGGGTATTCTGGCAGGGGAGTTTCTTTGATCTCCGGATGTGTGGGATGTCTGTCATATTTAGAGGTCTTACACGCCAAACACTGACTCACAATAGCCGAAACTTTTTTCCTCACTTTAGAAAAGTATACTCTTTCGGACAACTGAGCTTTATTTTCCACAGCATTTCTGTGTGCTCTGTTGTGTGTCCTAAGTATTTCTTCTTCCTGTTCGGCTTCGGTAACAAGGTCTTTAACCTTAGTTTGAGAGAATCTAATCTTGAAACCCATAAAATGGATGGGGAAGAGCACTTGTATTTTCCCCATTACATCCTCAGATGTGAAAATTCCGTTAATCACGGATGGGTTAAGATATTTCTTCAGATCCGACAAGAGACTATCAGGTGTGAACAATTTACGATCCACTAAATGCCTCTGGAATGTCGGGAATGGAATGTCAAATGAGTAATTCTCTGACTCAGATTTCCTGCAGAAAATTTGATTTTTAAATGCATTTATTGGGGCTTCACTATACGCTATACGCTTGATAACGCTAGTTATCAACCCATGGCTCGAACTGTCAGAGCTGTGCATTGTTGAGGTTACTGTGTTTATTTGCGCGACTGTCGGTCCTCTGGACAGAGCGTCGGCCACAGCGTTTTCTCTGCATGGTTTATAAAGAATCTCATAGTCATATTCCTCGAGGTATGATTTCCATCTTTTGATCCCGCATTTCCATTCCAGCTGCTGAGGGAATGGGTCAGAGGCTGATGGTCCGTAAAGATTTTCACCTTTGCTTTACCTTAAAGGTAAATTTTTAGCTTTTTTAGAGCCCAGATAATGGCTAGCATTTCTTTCTCATTTGTGGCGTAGTTTTCTTCCGCCTTCGAGAGTGTTCTCAATAAAAATGAGATGAATCTGTTTTCTTGTTAAAGAACAGCATCTACTGCGAAATTGGAAGCGTCCGTTGTTAGGTGAAATTCTTTTTTAAAATCCGGGTAATGGAGTACCACGTCTGGGGAAATCAAACTGCTCTTCAATTTCTTGCTTCGCTTTTAAGGGAGACGGATTTTGTTGACGATAATGTCTTGGAAAATTGTCTAAAATTGCCTGTACTTTAATTGGATTGGTTTCTATGCCCTTGTCGGACACTACGAAACCCAGGAATTCTACCTTCCTCTTCATAAACTCGCATTTATCCAACTGACATTTCATGTTGGCTTGTTGCAAGGTCCTGAAAATCATGTCCAGGTTTTTGTAATGGGTTTACTAAAGATGTTGTTATCGTCGATATAAATAAAACATATTTTGCCAATATGCTCATGAAGAATATCGTCGAATGCGCGTTGGAATATTGATGGTGCATTTTTCAGACCAAATGGGAGTCGTGTGAACTCATATTTTCCATGATTTATGGAGAAGGCGGTCTTCTCGATATCGGAGTCTTTTAGTCGGATCTGGTGAAACCCACTTTTAAGGTCAAGCACTGAGAAAACTTTGTTGTCGCCAAGTTGGGCTAAAACCTCGTTTATATCGGGAATAGGGTACCTATCCACCACTGTCACCATATTAAGCTTTCGGCAATCGATCACAACTCTGTATTTCTTTTCACCAGAGGAGTCAAATTTTTTTGGCACACTCCACACGGGTGAATTGTAGGGTGACCTTGATGGTCGGATTATACCGTCACGCAAAAGCTCCGATATTTGCTTATTTACTTCATCCTTTAGGGACATGGGGTATTGATAGAATTTCGAATACACAGGTGTATCCGATGTGGTTCGAATTGCTGCCTTCACATTTGTTGTGTAGGTCAGTTTTTGGTTTGGAACTGCGAAGAGACCTTGGATAGTTATCAATTACTTTGTTCGTGTTCCAAGTGAGATCAATTCTGGGGCTGATCGTGCTAACAGCCTCGAATCTTTGTTCCTTGATAGGAATCCTTCTTCCGTTTCCCAGTGTCATGGTCGAATTTCCCAGATCTATCTGTGCTGTCGTTCTGGGTTTCATATTCTTGCATCGACCGTTGTTAGTCTGTCATGCTTGGACTGGGCCCAGCTATTTCGACACTTGGCTGTCCCATGTCCATTGTTTGGATGTTATAGTTTCTTTGTCTTTTGTTTATGTCTGAAATATGACCGCCCGGTCGTTTGCCGGCGTCAAAATGTGATCTGTTTATGTAATTTACGTTTCTAGTCTGTATGCTGCGGTCCACGTCCATTGGTTCTGGTCTTGGTTGTGGTTTGGCCGCGAAAGGACGAGGTGGGGCATTATATTGTTGCCATTGTTGTTGATAGTTTTATTGGGGTGCGGCGAACGGTGCATTACCGAAATTAGGCATTTGTTGTCTTGGCGCAGCGAATGGCTGGCCTAAGTGTTGTGGTGGTCTCCTCACGAGGTTTCGTGGAGGGACCGGTG